AATTACCTTCTCACTTATCTTTTTCATTGATTTGAGATAAAAGAGGAAGCACAGACCAGAAACTATGGGTTTTAAATGGCACCAGCAATCACAAAAGAAAGCAGAGGCTGATAATGTAGTGATACATATTACAGATATTTTCCCAGAAGGATGAAGTATGTACCTTGAGTAACGGCTTCCCTAACAATATATACAAAAATTCAAGTTTAAAGAAATAAAGGGCTAGCTTATATTTTTCTCTATTCAATTGAAAAAGTTAATCAGAAAAGCACAAAGTAGGGGCACAGGATGTAACTCAGCGGTAGAACGCATGCCGAGCATGTACGAAGCCCCAAGTTCAATCCCCGCTGCAAAACACACGCGTACATGCACGCGCACTGCGTACGCAGGCTCGAAGTGTGCTATATCAACACTCGTGTGGTCTCCTCTAGGCCCCAGGAAGTGCACATACCATTAACATTTTGTAACATGCCAGTGTTTGTTTTGTTTTTGTCTTTTTAAAGAAATTAGACCTTTCTTTAAAAAAAAAAAGAAATTAGACATTTCAGATCAAGTGTAAGCTCTATTTGTTCTGCATTTCTTTTTTTCTTTTGTTTCTGAAGACTTTTACCCCATGGAAGTTGCCAGAAATTCTTCCAACATGCCTTTTCAGGATTTCATTATGTGTCTATTTATATATTTGCTATACATATGACAAGAAAATATAGTACTTAGTGTTATTTTATGTATTTTGAAGTCCTAACAAGTGGTATCAGTGATACACAACTTTTCTCAACCAATATGTCTTTAATGTTTATATTGACTGAGTCAATGCAAGTAGGTCTAGTTTATTAACTTTAAATGTTTTATAAAATGTCTTTGAATGGATAAGACAGTTTATTATGATATTGATAGATATTTCCATTATTACTGATTGCTATTACAAACAGTGCTGAAGTGAGTGCCTTTGAACTCATCTTCTGAAGCACATGTATCAGCTTCATTGGGGTAATTTCCTAGAAGTAAAATTGATGAACCAGAGGATATATATATATCCTGTCAGCAGTGCTGGAACTAGATTTCTAAAACACATACACCAAATAGGGCTGGCCAAATAGCTCAGTGGATTAAAGCACCTGAAAGCAGGTGCAGGGGCCAGGGGGTTCGATCTCTGGGCCTGCCATGCCAGCCCCACCCCCAGGACATGTTGAGGCAGCAATTGAGACTGGGCGTGGTGGTGTGGGCCTGTAAGCTCTTGGGAGGCTGTAAACAGGAGGATCACAATGAGTCCGATCTAGTTAGTGAGACCCTGAACACCTTTCCCTAAAATTAAAAAAAAAAAAAAAAAAATCCAAAACAAAAACAAATACACCAAGTACACTTTCTACAGTTTTGAGGCTATTGCACAATTCCTCCCCACCCCATCCCTTATGTCTCTTCACACGTAATTGTCTTACTCTAAAAGTCTTTTCTTTGACTTCCTTAGAAAAAAGAGAGCAAGTATTCAAGCTTTGTTGGCTATATTCATGCAGAATAATGGGTACGATTTTCAGGAAAGCTTTGCTAGGTCCAGCTGTTCTTTCAGGGTTGATTTGTTGCCTGCTCTAAGTTCACTGCTCCTGCCTCGCTCTGTTAGAATGGGCAGCACTCTTCCCTTTTTCTCAGCTGCTAAGGGGGTTATCTAACACTTGGAGGATGATTGTTTGTTTGTTTCCTGCTTACTTTAAAGTTTTAAAAAGATAATGAAGACAGCTGTTGGTCTTGGCATTTGTTAACCTCCTTAAATTCCTTAGGATTTTTGGGTCTCTTGGGCTTCTAACCTCAGACTTAATTTCAGCGTCGCACAGATGCTAGTGCAGCCTCCAAGCATACTTGCTGGATTTGAGGTTGTTGCTGCCACTCTTAGAACACTCTCCTCCCGCTTTCTCCTGCCTGGAAGAGCATCATCCTCTGTCTGGTAGTTCAGTTCCAGTAAGATTTTTTTTAAAACTGAGTTTTTAAATGGTAACAGAGCTAATGATGAAAAATAACAGTAAGACCCACATTAGCATCTAGAGCCTTCTTAAGTTTCTGTTTAGTACTCACATTCAAGTGTCTTTTGTTTTTCTTTTATTATATTAGAGGAATAAACAGAAATAGGTATTAACATTTCTTGGCCCACTTTCAATCTGACAAGAAATGCTGTGTTTAGATGTTGATTCTTGTGCTGGGGAGATGACGTGGTAGTATAAGTGTCTGCCTGGCAAGCGCAGGGACCCAAGTTCTATCCTTGGTACTGTCGCATGTTGTATGGGCCACACAACTGGGTGTTGTGGTGCACACCTGTAATCCTAGTGCTGGGAAGCTTGAGACAGGAGGATCCCTATGAATTTGAACTGTGTAGTAAGACCCTGTACCAAATAAAAATAAATAAATAAATAAATAAATAAATAAATAAATAAATAAATGTTGGTTCTTAACAGCATAGACCAGAAAGAGCTGAGCATGGTCCTGAAGCAAAAGCAAGGCTCTGTGCTTTGACCCCACTCCACCCCACCCCCTGCCACCCCAGTACCTGTGCTGAGGAGGTGCTGGGCATGTTATTGTGATGAGAATCTTTGACATAATCTCACATGATGTAACTGTATGTTGTTACAAAGGGCTGAGCAAGAGGAGTAAGGATCAAGTTTGACCATGCGAGCTATGGGGGTGCAGTCATGGGTTCTGGGGGGGTGCATGGGATTTTGGTCAGTTTCATGTGAATGTTATAACATCCGTGTTAGCTGAAGTCAGGGAGGTCCCACCTCTTTGCATATGCTGCATTGTATGATATTTCCCATCTACCTTTTCTTCATGTAGCAGTTTACGCTAGGCAGGCACAAATGATGGGCTTCTGTGTGGTGCACAGTATGCTTAGATGAGTATCACTGAAACAGAAATGTAGGAGAAAGACGTTGGTACCCATTTTCTAGATGGCCTGATTCATGCATGGCATTTGAGTGAGTTTGCACTTAAGACTGGCCCCCTCTGCATTCGGGCTGCGACACTACCTGGATTGAGACTGGCTACAAGCATGGTGATGGGGTGTTGCTTGCAGTTCTTTGGATTATTCATGCATTTTCAGTAATTTTCTCCATCAAGCCTTACTGAAGATTGGTTTGTGGGGCAGGGATGGATGGGCCCCAGTGTCACCAACATTTTTTTCTATTAAGGATGTTAAGGGAACCAAATGCCCTTGGTCAGTGTTGCAGTGGCTGTCAATAGCATGTGCAAAGTTAAGATTTTGAATCCTAACTGACTTCCTTAAAAAAACTGTTAAAAAACACAACAGCAAGAACAACTGCAGTGTGGTCTATCCTGAGTAAAATACCTGTAGCAGATGTATCTGCTACATGAAATGTTTCCATTCTCTGTCGTTACCCCAGACTAAGCATTTAAAAGTCATTAGACTTAAATGTAATGTAATCCAGGAGTCTCTTCATTCTGCTCAGACTAAATTGATTATCAGCTATGATTGCTCTAGTGTGTTTACAAGGTTATAACTTCTCAAATGATTTCTTTGTTAGATTAATGTTTGTTTTTATTTGTGGGGGTTAATGGAAAGGTTGGGAGTAGAGAGGAATGAGTTCAAGAAGAGCAGAAAAAGTGCAGCTGCTTTAGGATGACCCTCCCGACAGAAGAAAGAGGCTGCTGTCGCTAGGTCCTGTGGTCTTGCAGAGGAGGTGTGTCAAACTAAAGTGATACGAATGCCCTGCAGCCTGGGGCGTCAGCCACGTCTCTGAGATTTATTTTGTGCATGTGTTTGAAAAGGAAGAAGGACAGAACCTACTAGCAAGAGTGAGAGGCGTGGTTTCTGAGTGCTTTGGAGAACACTTCCTGGATCCCACTGCTGATTTTATTTGAAGATGTTTAGTTTGCCAGGGTTAGTGGCCACACCTATAATCGCAGCTGTGTGGGAGGCTAAGGCAGGAGGATCACAGGTTCTAGGCCAGCCTGGGCAACATAACTCACAAATAAAAGTAGTTTATTTGAAAAAAGAAAGAAAACAAGAAAATGCTTAGTTCAGTTGTGACCACTCTAAGAACTACACTCTTAAGACCTTCTTTTAACTGTCCCCAGCTTCCTGGAAAGCTCCAGAAGTGCTGTAAGCCTCTGCTCCTCTTGCTGTCACATGGTCGGGGTCACCACGGTGGAGTGGCTGCTGGAGGGGAGCCCTTGTCTCTGCCCTAGGTGCTGGGTGGGGTGGGGGCTGTGCAAGATTTCTTTGCCTGTGCTTTTGGCCTGGTTTGCCCTGGATTTAATTTTATAAAATGCTACCACGAAAGACAATCGGCCTGATTTGATCTAAGGCATTAATTATGAGGGCAGCCTCACAGGAGAAACTTAAAATCCATAGAACCGCTATTTTGTTTTTTCCCTTGGTGAGGTTCCTCCAACTGTTGGGATTGAATGTGGGGCCTCATACATGCCCTTCTAATGCTTTCGGGTCCTGACAGCTCATGTCCTACATTACTCTGGGGTGCTGTCCATTTCTTTCATCTGAGCTACTACCTCTCTTGCTAGTTCTTCACAGCTCCCTAACTCTCCAACTGCCTCCAGGTAGGTGTCATCCAGCTTGTCGCACAGAGGGTGATGGCCTCCCACAGGCCTTTGAACAGTTGTGTGTTGAGCCTGCGGGCCTTTCATGTGAATGCCTCCGCCATGTCAGTGAGGCCTGTCCTCCAGCCTGCTCTGTTTATCCAGCAGCTCATTACTGAGGGCTGGCCTGTCAAAACGGGTTAAATATTCTTTGGGAAATATGGTCACATCCTTGAGATACCACAAGTATGTTTAATACGGGGAAGATTGGCTTGATAAGTAAAACATGATCGACTTGCATCACCAAAAATATTTTTTTGTTATTCCAATTGAGTTCCTACAGACATCAATAAGCACTAGCAAAGCTGAGGGCACTAAATTTCTGCAGCTGACACCAAGGGAGGCAGGGAAAATGATTGCTGATGATTCGTTCTAACTACTTGACCTTCTGACCTCTTCTCTAGATATATGATCAAGATGGGACACTACAGCACTTTATTGATGGTGGGGAACCTAGTAAGTCGAGCTGGATGAGGTATATCCGATGTGCAAGGCACTGTGGAGAACAGAATCTAACAGTAGTTCAGTACAGGTAAAGTATATCTTGATTTACCACTTACAGAGCTGAAGTCCTTTGGCTTGCACACACAAATTCAGGCTTGCTGCGAGCGCTTTTAAAACTCCTGCAGACCCTGCACAGGTTGGCAGAGATGTTGTTTTGCCAGCTCCCTGAACCCTCCTTAGTTCCTAGGACAGTAATTTCTTGACCACTTGGAAGCAAAGGTGCCAGTAGGCAGCCTGTCCGTCCAGAGCCCTTGCTGAAGTTGCCTGTGTGTCATTGCTTGAACTTCCATAAAAGCCTGGGTGGGTCCTGAAAGCCCACCGACTGGGGGCAGCGCTCACAGCAGATGCGTGTGCCTGGAGGAGCAGGATTTCAGAGCCTGGGCCCAGGCCTGTCCTGCTTAGTCTCCTTCAGCTTCTCTCCCTGCAAGGACAGAACCACTGGCAACCGAGAACCTTGCTCTTGCCAACACTGCCCTTCAGCGCTTGCCACGCTCTCCTGCGGGCACTGAGCTGGGGCAGTCTCTCCGACTCCCTCCATAGGTGCCAGGGCATAGGGCTTTGGGTGGCTTTAGTTGTGTTTCAGGCAGTGAGGTGCAGAGCACCAACGGGGCTTCAAACCAGAGCAAGATGGCGCCATCCCCACCCCACAGGGCATCCTGTAGAGAGGCTTCGGGGCCAAGCAGCAAGATGCATTCGCAGGGCACCTCAGCCCGTCTTTTCTAAGTGCACCTGCTGGCCAAACGTTTCCACTTAGCGCTTAAGAAGGCTGAAGTGGAGATGAGAGGGCAAAACAAATCAACCCGGAAAAAAAGCTTCACCATTCAAAATCCCTCGAAAACATGTGCCATATAAATATATGAGCTCAGTTATAAACAGCCGTGTTCCCTTTCGAATCAGAAGCAACTGTTTAGCTTTATTAGGCACCACAGACACATCAAAGCAGAGGGCCGGTGCTCGGCAACTTGGAGTCCTGCCTGTGGCTATTTATTTTCCTTTCCTTTTTTTTAATCAAGTTTTTTTTTTTTTTTTTTTTTAACTTCCCCATAGCTTAAAGGCTGCACAAATCTGGCTTGTTCTCTAGCGGTCTCCAACTTAAAAGCAACATATACGGGCAGCATCTGACTCCTTGCCTTGCTTTCCTATGCAGTTTTATTTCATTAAATAATGGTTTAACTGCAGTGTAGTGCAAGATGATGCTTGAATACACTGCCGTACACAGGCTATTCTCACCTTCACTGTTGTGAAGGTTTTACAGAACTCGAGCTAAGAAGTTAGTAAGCACTATGTTTGTGCAGCCCTCACGGGATGGTATCGCTGGTTCTGTGCTGTAATGCCCAGGCAGTTAGTCTGTGAAGCAGAGTTTGAGTTTGGGACAAGACACCCTTCTGAGGAGGGGGGGGGTGTGGGGCGTGAGTGAGTCATTACTGATCTGTCAATATTAAGTGGATTTTACAACTTCCCTCTATGACAGCGCCTAAACTATGAGCTCTGTCTGCTGATCTGTTTTTGATTACTTCAGATCTTTATAAAATGAACTACAAAAACACAATTTTAAAAACTGGCATCTATCATCAGTGACGACGTCCAAAAGTAAGAAAATAGAAAAGTTGGACCCCGAAGAGCCAGCCTAATTTTTATCATACATGAATGTCCTCTTCACAGAAAGTCAGCTGGTTTAAATTCATTCTGTTATGATTTGTAATATCTAAATGGAATTTTCTTCAAAGCGCCCTTGATTGATTGACCCTTAGCTGAACGTTTTGTTTTTATTTTGAGGCTGACAATAATGTTTGTTGGCATGTGTTCTGCTTCAACTGCGTTGGGACGCCATGAAGCTATCTTTATGAGTCATCCAACCACAATACTAAATACATGTCAGCAAAGGAAATATTATCTGAAAAGGGAAAAATCCCTTTGATGTGCCTTAACATGCAGAGATTGCTGCGAGTTTTGGAAGCTTGGCCTGCTTGTAAGGCACGGTGTACACTTACACATTTTTCTCCCCCTTTCAGCCTGCTCCGTGCCTCAGAAGACCACCCATTGCTCGAAAACAGTTCTGCTCTTTCAGCAGCAAAGTGTGTCATTTGGTTTTAGCACATTCATTTGCCGGGCGCAGTGTTTATCTTAAGGGAAGCCAAACCGAGAGATGAAATGTTACAAGGGTGAAGTACAAAGTAGACTCAATTTTTCTCAAGTTAGGAGATGCCAGTGATTTATAGCTCAGCTCCAATTTTAATTTTTTTATGTAGCAGTGGAAAGAATTAATAAAATGCACAGCTCTAGAGATGCGGAGGGAGGTAGGGTGGTGAGGGCCGGACAACTGGCTGGAGTTTTTGTCAGATATTCATAGAATGTTGGGAAAAAAACATTCTGCTTAGCTAGCAGTGCCCTCGTGAGACAGAATGGCAGCAAGTGAAGAAAATAACAAGATAAATGAAATTTTTGCAGCTGCAAGTAAAATATTGAGAATCTGCACTTTTTTATTGATCTTTATGATCCTATTGCCAAGAGCCACTTTGTGGTGACAGAATATGTTGACAAGTGCATATCTCACTGCCATGAAAAATGTGGAGAAGGATTCGCCTTATGTCTGCAGTGTTGTACAAGGGACAAATTGCCCTGCGACAGCCAGTTCCTTACAGAAAGGGGAAATTTAAGGGCCAGCAACCCCAAACACTTTTATCTGAAACTTGAGGCTAATGTGTGAAGCAATTCTTCATTGAGAAAACCAGTTTCGGTATCCTCTTTTTTTATTTTTTTAAATCTGTAGATTTTTCTTTATGGTGCCAGAGCTGTTATAAAAACTGTTTATTTCTTGGTGCCCTCACTGTATCATTTCAGAGTGTAATCTTTCAGCCAGTGTAAAGTGCTCCTCTTGTACTTAATGAATTTTCATCCATTTCACGTAAGAGGTTTTTCTCTTTTGTATCAAGCCTCAGGAAAAAGGGAATGGAGTTTTTTATTCTTGGCCTTTGTATCACAAAGATGCTCCATTTTACTGCAAATTTGAAAAGTTCCAGTGCAGTTGTCAGAATCCACCTAATGCTTTTCCTTCAAATAAGAAATCAGTGAAATTAATTTACATATATGAGTTTTGGGTATCACAGTCTTTGTAGTTTGCCCAGAAAGACTTTTCTCATTAGTGCAAGGCAGCATTTTTAAAAGGAAACTTCCCCTCTCTCTGTCTCCTGGGCCAGATATCTGTCTCTTTGGGGCCCTCTATGCAGGGACACTGTGGAAATAAACTATACACTGTTTATCATACTGAGTTATAGGCCCTAATTGATTGCTAGGGACAATAAGGTGAATGTAGATTTATTATAAACAAATTGTTTAGGTGGAGCTGGGCAGAACATTTTCAGGGCAATAAAAATGTGGTGGGGGCACATAAGTCCTGCCTATTACTAAGCTGGGTTTTCTTTTGTTTTGAATAGGTCGAATATATTCTACCGAGCCTGTATAGATATCCCCAGGGGCACCGAGCTTCTGGTGTGGTACAATGACAGCTATACGTCTTTCTTTGGGATCCCCTTACAATGCATTGCCCAGGATGAAAACTGTAAGAATTTATTTTAGCTCTAAATTCGCATCTCACAATACTTATTTCAAAGCTAACTTTTAAAGAATGTTTTTTTCTTGAAACTTCTTAAATGTGCTTGACTATGCTACCTCTTGCAGACTTGCACACATCCCGCCTGTCATTTTCTTCTCCCTGTATGTTGTTTGCTTTTTCACAGGGCATCTTAACCTCTACGAGCCGCTACTCAGTTTCAAAGCCTTTGCCAGAGTTTTAAATAATCGCTGACAACAGACTTAAGTCAGCTGGTGTTCGCTGAGCACATACTAGGTGTCTGGTGCTAAGCTTTTCCCTGGGGCTTATGAAAGCAGCGATAAGATAACTTGGTTCTGAGGCTGCAGGCTTACTGGAGCCACACTATGCAAAAATCAAGTATGCAGAAGACAGTACGGCTTAATCAAGGGTAAAATCTCTGCAGTTCATTGAGTTTGCTTCCTCCTAAATAATATGAAAAATTGTAGAGGGGGCCAGGGAGATAGCTCAGTAGAATAAGCGGTTGCCTGGCAAGCACAAGGTCCTGAGTTCAGTCCCCAGTACCACCAAAAAAAAAAAAAAAAAAAAAAAGTAGATGTGTAAAATTCATGCCTTTCTAAATATTTTTGGCCTAACATGCCTAGAACCATATAATTTTCTTTTATTTTTATTATCATACCAACCATTATCTTTGAAAGAATAATCAAACTCTTGGGCAAATATGAACTTGAAACAACTTTCATTTAAAATTTATATTTTTGTTTTATCAGTCCTTTTGAAAATATTACAAGGTAACTTCCAGAAATTGCAACAGAATTAGGAAATTCTGATGTGCTCTAATGAGAAACACTAGTTTTAGTGATGCTGTGTTTTCCTGTCACTAAATTGACTAATATGTGGTAATTTGACGTTATGTACCAAAAAAAGACAGTAGATCTATTTTAATAGAAAACTTCACTTTCAAAAAAGTGTTATTTTCTTTCTTCGCCTCCAGTTCTTATATGCAAATATGCACATATGCACCCACGCTAAGTCCAATAGAAAACACTCATATGTCTGCTGGCCAGAATGTTGGTGAGGGTCAGGTATTTCTAGCACATGTTGCTTTTAATTTCTTTGTAAAAAGTAAAATCCTCAAAAGGCCTGCTGCTATCAGTTTTCTTTCTGTTTTAGCCTAACTCCAAATCAATCTGTAATTAAAAAAAGAAAAAGAAAGAAAGAAAGAAAAAACTTTGGGCCTGCAATACATTCTTCGTCTCAAGTGTCTATTAGTTTCTTTTCTGCAGTGGTGCTTCCATTTGAGGGAGCATCTTTTTTTTTTAAGGAGAAAATCTCAGCTTTGGACAGAAGTGTGTGCTGGTGTTAGAGGTAATACTGATGCGGAAGTCACTGCGCTCTCCTGGGCCCAAATACCTCCAAGCCTCTGCCCTGGAGCTAGCTCCAGGTCCAAGTGGAGAAGCACCAGTGTCTCCCGAGTGGCTGACTGGGCTTGCCCGTGACATACCCCTGTCTTCTAAAGCATGAAGTGTAGTCCAAAAGGATTCCAGAAATCCTGTGAGGACCCCGTTTCCTTTTGTAAGGCCCCCTGTTGCAGACGCTGGAGCTGTGGCGCAGCTGCTCACACTTCAAGGCCTAGAGTTCTCAAGTATGTAGCTCAGACTCCGGATACTCATTTGTTCATTCACTCAGTCATTCTCATTCTTTGCTCAGATATTTACTGAGTACCAACTTTGGGCCACTGTCTTTGCTAGGTGCTATAAATGCAGGAGGAAAAAAAAAAGACAAAACTTCCTGTTCTCATTTTACCAGGCTACAGATCCATAAATGTATAAGTAACTAGCTGGTTAGGTGTTAATGTGTTGTAGAGCTAGTAGAGCAGAGGAGTAAGTACAGCCAGAGTCGGGGGTTGCAAATTCCAGAGTGATTAGACAGCCCTAGGGGAGGGGATTTGTAGGCAAGGACTTAGGAGGCGAAGGAACCAGCTCTACGGGACTGTGTGGAGGAGCCCTGCCGGCTTAGCCAGACTCAAAGCGAGAGGCCCCAGGATGGGAGTATCCCTGGCAAGTGGAGGAGCATCATAGAGGTTGACATGGGCACAGAGTGAGTGTGAGGTGGTAACCAGGTGCAGTGGTGGTGCAATCTCGGTTGGCCTTGCCGGACCGCCCGAGCCTGACTGATATTCTGTGGAGTTGGGAGCAGCCTAGTGAATTGGTCTGAGGTTTTATCAAGATTGCTGAGTGGAGATGAGGTAGTGGGGGTGGGGTGGGATGCAATGAGAGACTCCTGCAGGAACCTTAGGGAGAGGTGGTTTGGGCCAGCATGGAAGTGGTGGAGGTGGTGGGAAGCAGTTGGAGTTTGGATGTCTTTAGTTTTTTGTTTGTTTGTTTGTTTTGCGGTAGCAGGGATTGAACTCAGGACCCTGCACTTGCCAGGCAAGTGTCTATTCTACCAAGCTATCTCTCCGGTCCCTGGACATCTTTGGAAATAAAGTGGGCTACGTTTTCTGCTGTGGGAGCCAGTGAGTATGAGGAGTTTCAAGGAAGGCTTGAGTCTTGGAGAAGTGAAAGGATGGCATGACTGTTTACTGCGTTGAGTCTGGGAGACAGACATGGGAAGCACAGAATGACCGCCCTTGTCACCTTGCTGTGGCTCTCTGGAGTGAAGTCACACAGCCATGTGCTGGTGAAAGTATGAGAGGGATGGGGCATTGGTGTGGCCCATTTGGGGCCCCTTTGCTAGTCGTAGCCACCTGACAGTGAGTGGCTGAGAACGCACTACATGGTCTGCAAGATGCCACAGTGCATCAAAAAATATACTTTCTGGGAATAGTGTATAGTTTGCTTTTCTTGTATAGTCCACTTGTGTGAAGCATTCTTGAGGTTGCTGACTAGAATGTTGAATAAACTCTTGGGGTGGATGCCATATCATTTAGCACCTGAAATCCTTGAAAGGAAATTCACAAAGCTGGAGCAGCTTGAAGTATTATAGATTCAGCAGGAAAACTAAACAGCTCTTTTGGGTTTATTTCAGAGCTCTTAGGGTTGAGGGAGGTTTAAAGGGAATTAAGTCATTGGCTAAAAGGTTCAACAGTTACAATGCCTCTTTCCCCTGAGGGTATTATGGGAATTTTATTTCAGTTCCTGTCTTAAAGTCATATATCTGTCATGTGACTGGCCACCCAAGAAAATGGCAGAGGGCTTCATCAGATAGTGTGGAGGAGATATATGACTTTGACACTGACTCCAAGATGGATTCTCATTCTGTATGATTTACTCAGAGCTGGGGGTTCCCGACTCTGTGCTGGGTAAATACTTGATATAATTTAGAAGCACCAGTGTGTGAAAGGGCACAGAGAATTTTCCTGTGTCCTTCCATGGCCTGAGTAATTTAAATCATCTCACCTGGATTAGCAGTTCTAAGACAATTTTCATCCCATTGAACTAGCTACAAAATAAATTAGAGATCTTTAAGAAGCTTCCTGAGATCAAAGCTGCATTGGCTACGGTTCCTCGCAGCTTAACAACTAATGAATACTCATGGATAGGTATTAGTGCCATTATTAGAAGAGATTCATTATTTCAGCTTGATTCTCTCTGTTAATGAAATTGATACCTGGACTAAGATATTTAAGGAAAATCTGGTTTTACTTAGTGAATAACACGTATTAAGCACTTTATTTATAAAAATATCATTTTCTTCCCATGGTTCTTTCAACATTCAGAGCACACATTTCCCAGGGAGCCTGCCACAGGCTGGGCCTCACTAAGTGCCCCCCTCTGAGAGTGGCGTGTGGCAGCGGGCACGCCAGGCACACTCACTGCCCAGACAAGCCATTAGGAGCTGCCTGCACTCAAAGGGGAGACAGTGTTTCACATAGGCATTTTGGTTCTGGAAGCAATTCCTGCATTATTTTCTTTTTAAAGAATCAGTTATAAATGTAACAGAGCTGCAAGAGAGAGCCACTCCATCCACTGTGGGCCTTTGAGAGGAGCCTGCAGGACTTGGTGTCGACAGATTGCATCCGCAAGAAGGAGCGAGGCTCCCTGAAGCTTCCAGCGGGGGCTTAGCTCCTGCAGAGTGGAAAGACCGTAGTGCATTCGTATTCGTTTCAGAGGAAATTAAAAAAAAAAACCCTGGGAATAAATGTTAAACAAGTCTTCCTGCTGCTTGTTCTGTCTGGGCACATGAAGCTGAGGTAGCAGAATGTGAAACTTGATGGCAACGTGGGAGCTGCACCGGGTTAAACCTGGCCTCGAGGAGGCCTGCCTGTTTCTTTTGATTGTGAAGAGCAGAAAATAAAAAGGGGCACCTCTGCACAGTGCCTCTCAGCCTCCCACCCCACCAGCAGTGGGAAGGGGGCCCAGCCCAAGAAGGCCTTCCCCAGTGTGCTCGTTAGGGGACCTCTGTGACGGCGTGCAAACACGCAAGCCTGTCCTGAGTTCAGGAGGATGACCGGAGACACACAGACACACAACTTCAGTGTGAGTCACAGTGCCTGGTGAGACCACGCCAGAGCCTAAGTTTAGGTTGGGTATGAGTCGGAGGAGCTGGAGCTCCAGGCCCTGGGTGCAGAGGGAAGCTGGGACTGGATTCCTTATATCAGCTGGGAATGGCAAGTACTTTCCTCTTTCTAAGTGGGGACAAGGAAAACACTCCCTTACAAACTAAGGATTGTCCATCCTCGGTGACTGGTGTAAACAGTCACACTAAACACCAGCTGTGGCTTAGGCTGTAGATGTTTTGGGCCTTGATTCTGCAATACCTTTCAGATATAGTAACCCAAGGCTAAGAAGCTATTATATAAATTGGTGTAGGATTGGAGAAATCTTTGGTCTTTATAAATAAAATAAAAGAGAAGTGGCCCCACAGCAATGCCTCTGTAGCTGCACAGGACTCCAGCGGAAGGCGACAACCCACTGAAAGTGTTCACGGAGAAAAATGACACAGGGCAAGCCACTGACTTGGCAGGTTTGGGTCCTGTCGGATGTTGTGTGTGCTGCCCGTGTCTC